AGGCAGGCTTGGTGAGCTTCAAGCTAAGTCCAATGTTCTGACGAAGTCCGGTCTTGCAGACGGACTTCAGAACATAATTTGCTACGAAGAACAGGTCATAACTTTCAAACCGTAAGTCGGAATTGGACGAATTATATATGAAAATCGGCTATCTCGACGAGACGGGGCCATCCAAACCAAGCCAAAGGCTTTGGTTCGCTTCCTCCGTTTCGCCAAATTCCTTACGGTTTGAGAGATATCTGCATTCTAATATGAAGAGACCGTCAATTTGTAGTCTCTTTTGCTAGAGCTTTGCACAGATCGTCACCTTGTGACCTTCGCCTTGGCTCCTTGAAAATATGAGAGTCATCAGATTGTAACTCCTGATGTTGATTGTGAAGGCTGTTGAATTGGGGCTTTCATTAGTTGTTGTGAAGGTCGTCAGATTGTAACCTTCTACGTGAAAGTCCTCAAATTATAGCCTTCTGGAAGTCGTCAGATTGTAACTTCCATCATCGATGTTTGATGGGGGATCAACTATCTATTGTGATTTTTAGACAGCCTACACCATGCTGGAAGTAGAATGCATTAGAAATGAATTTGATTCTAATAAGAATAACCATACGTGCTCTACTTTTATTATCAATGATGTTGTGACCAATAATGAATTGAATCTTGTGAAAAAACACATATCATGCTTAGATTCAACTTTAAACACATGCATTGATAATCATAAGAGACTTATGGATAAGTGTGCTAAATCTAGTGCTACAACTTCTAAATCACCTACACACTATTCACACTTGTATAGCAAAGTTTATTAGTGCTCTATTTGTGGTCGTAAAGACCATTTATCTAAATTTTGCTATGATGCACAAAAATCTAAAAATAATAATATCAGTGCTTCTTGTGCATCTCATAAGGCTTCTTCATCACACACACATGTACATACACACACTCATAAAGTTCATCATAAGCATGCTCATGTGTTTAAATGTGATCTCTATGGTCATTTTGGTCATTTGGCAAAATTTTACTTTAATTTAAAAAAGGATTCCTTTTTGTCAAATGCTTCTAAAAGATCACATGTGTTTGAATGTGATTTTTATAGTAGATTTGACCATTTGGCAAAGTTTTATTTTGATTTGAGAAAATGTTCAAACTTGCCAAATTCTTCAAATAGATCACATTTGGTTGATAATATTTCTCATTTGCAAAATAAATTTAAAAGACAATCTTTATTTGTAAATGATTCGTGCATGCTCACTTGGTCAACACAAATCATGTAACTCTTTTTATTGCACCTATTGCAACCGGAAAGCCATTTGTACAATTTTTGTTTTGACCGTGTTAGTGCACTACATGTGCCCAAAAGGGATCATAACCCTAGGGCTTTGAGCTTCATTGATAGGGGTCATGTCCTTAAATAATCCGGCACCAAGAATGCTTGGGTGCCAAAATCTTTTTAAACCAAGATTTTTATTGTTTTTTATTTTTTATTTCTTGGTTTTGAAAAACATGCCTTTGATTTTTTTTTAAATTAAAACAAATTTTATGTCAATACTTTGTTTTTTATTTTTTGTATTCTTTTGGCTTTGATTGTCATGAGAGGTTTGTGTTTGATCAACCCCCGGATTTATTGGGTGTTTATTTCCCAAATCGTGTTTACCGGGTACTATATATTTATATGGGTTGGAATAAGTTTAAGAGCTTGATATGATTGCCTCTCTTGTCTTTTCTGTGTCAAAAAATGATATCAATTTATCTTTATGGATTTAAATTTTGATTTATGATTTCATTTGAGTTATTTGTTTTCATTTAAAAACTTTTTTCATGATTCTTATATTTTTCTTTCATTTGTTTTCATATATCTATTTATATATGATTTTTATGTTTTTATATTGAGACACTTTTTCATATTGATACACCAATATATGTTCTCATTGTCTTTTTGTATGTGAGTTGTGTTTAGCATATTTTTTATCTATGTTTGCTCACATATTTGCATTGGTCATTATAGCATATATTCCATAAGGCATTTTGATAGGGGAGATTTTCCCTATTATTTGTTTCTATACTCACAATGCTTACAGGTAGGGGGGGCTTTCACTTTCCTATTTCTTTCATATTCCTATTTCTGATGTTATCAAAAGGGGAGAAATATGTGAGTATATTTATGTTTTTGAGTATTGTACTTTATTGTTTGTTTTATATATACTCTTTGTGTAAATTTTTTGTCATTATCAAAAAAGAGGAGATTGTTAGCCTTTTTGTTTTGATGATGTTTTAACAAATAATTTACTACTAATGTTGTTTATCTAGTATTTGTATTTTTTTTATTTATTGTAGACAAACAATGTGTTGGAGGTTGGTAGGATTCCGCCCTCACGATGATATCAAAGAACGTTGGCGGAATATCGAGGTGAAGCAAATGCATTCAAGTCAAGTTCAAGTTCAACCTTCATCCGCAATCAAGACGAACTTAATGAAGATCTCATAGCTTGGGTATAATGTTTTAGGTTTATGCTCTGTGTGTTGGTACTTTAAGCTCAATCATATACACACATACACGTTTTGGTTTTTTTAGTTTTTAAGTTTATATACATATGAAACAAATATACTTATTTATATATACATACATATTTCATATTTATCATTTTTGGTTTTGGTAAACAATGTGTTTAGCCACATAAACATGAAAACTTAACAACACGTATATAAATATATTTTCATGTTTTGAATGGTTTACAAAATAAATTGAAAACTTAACAACACGTATATAAATATATTTTCATGTTTTGAATGGTTTACAAAATAAATTATATCTCGATAATAGAAAATGCAATTTGAGAAATTATTTTTCTAACATGTTCTATTACATGTTTAAAAACGTTTTCCAAAATTTTATAATTTTTGGAGTTGATTTACTATACTTAATTGATTTTACAAAATCAAGTGTTTTAGCAGTTTTTAGAATCTGAAATATCTGTTTTAAAATATTTATTTCTCACAAATGGAAAGTGATATTTTAGAATTTCTTTCTCTAACATGTTCATATACATGTCTAGAAACTTTTCTCAAAATATCATGATTTTTGGAGTTGATTTGCCATTTTTAATTGATTTTATAAAGCCAGCTACGTAAAAATTCCAGAATCTGCCAAAACTATCAACGGTCGACTTCATCAGTCGACTGATGACATCATCAGTCAACTGATGGCATGTTTTCAGGCCATTGAATTTATCGGCAATGGTTGGATGATTCCGTTTTCCATCATGTTTCTAAGGAGAGTTCGGCATATGTTTTATGAAAGAAGTTAAAGAGTCTTTATGGAAAAAAAGACGTAGGAAACAAGGCATTCTTGATTTGGAAGCTTGTAAATGTGAAATACAAGGAAGGGTCTCTATTGTGGAGCACTTGACTGAGTTTTAAAGTGTTAGGAACCATCTATCCTCTACGAAGATGAGTTGCAAGCATTGTTGTTATTAGTTCCTTGCCAAAAAGTTGGAACACGTTAGTGGTTTCCCTTAGCAACCCGGCTCCGGATGGTGTTGTCACAAGGAGTTTGGTGACAAGTAACTTGCTGAATGAGGAGTTGAGACAGAAAAATTTCGAATCTTCACATTCAGAGGCACTAGTTACTCAAAAAAAAAAAAGAGAGGAAGATTAAAGTTCAAAGTAGACAATTGTTCAATGTCAAGAAGCAAGTCAAGGCCGAAAGGGTTACTGCTTTTATTGTAATAAGGAACGACACATCAAGAAGAATTGTTACAAATGGAGGAATGAATGAAAGGAGATGGCTAACGAAGAAAAGTCCCAACTCAAGAGAGAACACAATGGCTACAATGGAAGGAGATATTTATCATTATCTCCACTAGTAGCGACGAATCGAGCCCTCGTGTTCGGTGTCAAGACATGGATTGGGGTGGTCAACACAGGAGCCTCCTATCATGCTGCTTCTAGGAGAGATATTCTCACATTCTACAAACCGGTGATTATGGTATTGTGAGGATGGGTAACAAAGGCACTTTGAGAGTTGTTGCTATTGGTTATGCTCAATGTTGAGACCAAACTTGGCTATAAGTTGGAGCTCAAGGATGTGCGGCATGTACCAGATGTTCGTCTCAATCTTGTATCGGCCGGAAAGTTTGATGAAGAAGGATACACAAACGTGTTTGGTGGCGGTGTTTGGAAACTCAGCAAAGGATCATTTGTGATGACGAGGGGCAAAAGGTGTTGCGATCTCTACAAGATGCAAGCGAAGGTATGTATGCGTGAGGTGGATGGTTGTGGAGTTGATATGTCGACAAAGATGATGTCAAACGAGAAGCAAGTTTTTTTACCGGAAGGTGACTGGCAGGGCTTCTGTTTGTTAGTCATTGGCATCGCCCCTCATAGGCATGGTGGGAGAGATTGTTGGGTTGGGGCCATACCTTTGAGCGGAGTCAAAACATTTGGTTAGTCAAGTTGTATGGATATTTGGCTAAATTGGTTTAACCCATATGTGCTTGGGTTGAGACTTAAGTCACATAAAGGCTCAAGAGTTTTGAAGAGGAGAAGAATTCTATCGTTCTCATAAGTGGGAAGACTTGTGAGAGGGAGAAGAGAAAGCTAGGGGTTTGTGAAAAGGTCGTTTTGGTTGATTTGTTCAACATTGCACATCTTGGAGATCTTAGTTGGCTTCCACTTGTTTTTAAAAGGTGATTTTTCAAGTGGGTAGTATGTTTAGAGTCAGTGCGGTAAATCATTGTGTTTTTCCCATTATTTATATTGTAGAGTCTAAAGCTTTGTGTAAGATTTGAATGGCGGGGGTTTTATTGTTCTCTTCCTACTGATATAGTGGAAGCTCTCTCCTTGCTTGTGGACGTAGGCCCAAGTTACGACTGAACTACATTATATTGGCTGCCCAATTGTGGTTGTCCAATCATGGTTGTGTGTGTTGTGCTTATTCCGCTTTTTGATTATCTTCTCACATTTGATCTTGAGCTTGGGAGCCTAGCCTTTGGTTTTCCCAACAGTAATCAAAGAACAGCTTTTCATTCCCAAACGCTCCACTATGATATTCTAGTGCACAAACCAAATTAACTTACAAACATGGCTTGCATATGCAAACATATGTATAAATAAAGTTCCGTTATAAACCATCTGATCATAAGATTATACAACAAATTGCGCAACATATAGCTACAGAGCTTGTAGCACAGAGGCTCCACATTCCAGAGGACAACGGTGTTTACTTTCAGGCAGCTTTCCCACAATCAACAAAACTACCGGGATTGATAGTAATACTTTTAGTACAGTTGTCTGTCTTGTAAATGCCAACAAGTCGATCCGCAAGCTCAAACATGTTATTCCTCAGGCTGCAAATGAAAAGTCAGTAAGCAAATAACACATCGACAACATTGTATATGAATAACCGTACTAAAGTATGATCACACCTTATAATTATAAATTGAGCATCTCTTGTCCGATCTTTCACATAATGACCCACTATTGACACATTTTTGAAATCTGCAAGATACCCAACAAGTAATGCTCAGAAGAGACTTGTAACATGGCATGGATGAAGTATTAGTTAGGAGAAATACCCAGAGCGGCATCTATCTCATCCATAACATAAAGCGGAGTTGGCTTGTAGTGATGGAGAGCAAATACAAGAGCCAATGAACTGAGCGTCTGCACAAAAAAATTTGTTTAAGACATATTATCCAAATTTACCATAATTCTTATAAAGGTCAAACCCATTCAATCAGGAAAGATGCCACTAAAAACAGTGGAAGAATGTGATGAATCAAATTTCATCCTATGATTTGTTTCCAGTTTCATGAAAACCTTCACTTAAACCAAGTAGAATGCTAATAATTTTATAGGTTTCTTGGCCAAGCGCCACAATCCCATACCAAAATTGAAATCTTCATTTTAAATTCTAATCTGAAATCAAGAGAAAAACTCGAGAAAAGAACTTTATTTCCAATGTTGAGTAGATTGCAAATAATGACAATAGAATCTCATCCCTCACAAAGAAATTGACAATAGAATCTCAACATGAGTTATATTCTAACTCCCTAATATCTACCAATACCGTGCGACAAACAAGTTTAAGATTGATAACAAGCATGGATTTGTGAAATACACAGACTTAAATTTTAATCGTCTTTAGAACCAAGTTGTGCTGTTTAACTTCTATGTCACTTCTATTATATTTTATCCTTTTGAAACCACACATTATTTGGACTTACGCTTATGATGTCTGCTTAGCTATAACTCAAACAAGCAACTTTCTGTGATGTCTGCCAAGTCCGCTTAGCTAACTCTCAAACATGCCGTCCGGACTTGGCTTCATGTTTCTTTAGTTTAATTTTCTTCTTTTTAATGGGTAAATGGGGTTTAGAAATGAACCTACCTTCTCACCACCGGATAGATTAGCAATATTCTTCCAGCTTTTCTTTGGGGGACGTACACTGAAAACAACACCTTCTGAGAAAGGGTCCAAAGAATCGACGAGTTCTAGTTCTGCATCCCCTCCTAGAGTAATCATCTGCGATACCAATTGAAATTTCATAAGTTGATATCAACTACATAGTAACCTGGCTTTAAATATAATTCATTTAAGGTGGCAAATAAACCAGCTATTTGCGAACAGCCAGGCAGCATGAATTTTACTCATTAAATTAGCAAACTAGTTGAATTCAAGGTAATCACTGTATGCTCAAGTTTGGTATGATAAGTACACTAGGACATATTTTAATATATATAATATTTGCTTATATAGAAATATATAAGCGTGCATATTTTTCTAATGTAGAAACGTTGTCATATTAGAATCTATTGGTAAATTATTGAATCTAAAGCAAATAATTTAAGAACATTTGTAGTAATTCTCTTAGAACACCTACTGTTTTGAGTAACAAACATGATGATGCAGAAGAAAGTATATGAAGATAAGTTTTGGGCACTTCTAGTGTTTCTTCTTATCCAACAAACCAATTAAAAATACCTAGGTTCAATATTAAAGTCTCAATTCTATCAGTCATTAATGAAGCAAGCCACTGCTTGCAAACTGTTCCTTGTTTATGTCAGCTCAATCTAAGTTCACTCATATTTTCTTGAATCTATAAATGAACCAAAACTCAGACAAGGCTGGCTTCCTCAAATTCAGCTTGTTTCCACCTTAGATTCATGTGCCACTAGATTCAACAACGGTGCCGAGAAGTTGTAAAGTAATTCAGAAAACAAGGATATATTCTTGTACATTCACTAGAAAGCAAGGATTGATCAATCAGACCTGATACATCTCCTTCAACTTTAGAGATATAACATTAAACCCTGCCATGAACTCATCCAACCTGAATATCATTCAACCAGGCCTAATTAGTACCCGATGCAAAAAAAAATATTAATACCAGATTGACATGAATGTAACTGTGATCTGCTTGCCTTTTCTTTCTCAATCCATCATAATGCTTTTTCAGATCATCTCGCTCTTGTGTCGCAACATTGAGTTCTTCGACACGTTCATTGTAAACATGAGCCTTCCTCCGATATCTGTATGAAGCAACTTTCAAAAAATTTCTGATGGATAATAAATAAGATCCTCATTAAAAAAAACTCTTAAAGAAAAAAGTGCATACTCAGAAATGGAGTCCAAGTTTGGATTCATGTCTTTCAATTGTGCTTCCAGCAATGCCACCATCTCCATCGCTCGTTTCATGTCACAAGCATCATCTAGTGCTGCATCCTTTAGTGTTAACTGAAGTTTTTCAGGATCAACTGCATCTTTCTGAATCCTGGAGCCATAAACTTCCGGTGAATGAGAGAGGGACATAAGGGGGAAAAGCAAAAGTTGCTAGCGTAGCAAGGTATTTCTAACTTACTGATCCATGTGCTTCACAAGATTCATCTGTATATCATCAAGTCTCTTTTTGAATGCCTTTACCTTCATTTCCCATTCTTTTAAGAGTTTCTTGGAGTCTTGCAATTTATACTCAGCATCAACCTGTGGCGTTCACAAACATGGTCATATGTAAATAGAAAGACAAATTTACCTTCGTGCAAGAGAAAAAGATAATGATGATGACCTCAGAAGCCCGTAGCTCTTCCATAGTTTTGTTTAACTTGTTGTAATCTGCCTTTGTCTCATCCAGCACAACCTTATGCTTGTCAATAAGCTGCAGAATACATTTTTTACTATCATAAAAAGAGTATTTGGGACCAACACGTGCATGAAAGGTAGCTCCAATTGATGTGTACCTCTTGAGTTTTCTTGTAGTTTTCTTGAACTAGAAAAGCCTTTTGTTCAACCTCTTTGAAAACAGCTACCATTTTCTCCTTCTCGCCTACTGCTTTTTCTTTCTCTACCTTAGATTCCTCTATGCCTTTGGTTAACTTTTTAATCATTTTCTCACCTGTAACTATCTTAACTTTGTGACGATTGACTTCAGTACTTGTTTTATCAATATCCTGCCAAGTAACTTCGATATTAGGCAGGATCCTACTCTGATGTTAATGATATCCCAAATACATATACTTACAGATTGGATCTTTGTGACCTTTAATTTTTGGTTTTTTAGCCTTTCACCACCTGCATTTTCTATTTTCTTCTGAAGATCTGAGGCCTAAATGATGCATAAAGGGGAAAAAAGAAGCAAGAATGACTCCGTTATAATATACTGGAAAATCTGTAGCATAATTATGACAATGTCTACAAATAAATATGTAACATAGATGAGTATATTACTAATCAAAGATGGGTTATCTATATGAAAATCTACATTTAAGATTTAAAATAAAGTCTGGTGATCATAATAATATTTCTTACTCGCTCTTTAAGTGTAGCAGAGCATTTAGAAAGCTTCTCTAGTTCCTTTTCCTCAGCATGTATGAGTCTATCGAGCTCCTTAAGTCTATCCAGCTCGTCTTTCTTCGGTTCTGATGCAACCTTCAGCGAATGAAGCTGCTTTTCTATGTAACTGTGTTGTGCATTCAGACTATCAATCTGTTAAGAATGAAAATGTTAATAGATGGTAACTTCATCCCCAAAAGCATACAGATCAATTCATCAGATTTGTACTGGTACTCTAAATACCTCCTTTTGACATTTTGCTAGTTCCATCTCCAGTCGGGCTTCAGCTTTCTCAGCAACCTGGTAACGCCTTGCCGCATCAGCAATTCGTTTACGTAAACTGTCAAGCTGCTCCACCAGCTCAGCAAGCTCTTTCTCAGCATTTGCAACAGCTTCTCCTGATACGCTTTCCCTAATCGATGTACCCATCTTACCACCCCGTGGTTTGCTTCCACCACCACTCATTGTCCCAGACTTTTCAAAGAGCGCTCCCTCCAGTGTCACTACTCGACGAAATTCTATGTCCTTACCATATGCAATCCTAGTTGCCTAAAGGTTCAAGAAACAATAATTACTATTAGAAATAAAAATTGAAGGAAAAAATGAGTATATTTTAAACCAACTTTTCCCTAATCTGTATAGCCAAGAAATAGAATATATTACAAAACCTATATCTTAATATTGAGAATCCTAGATTAGAGAGGGAAGATTATATGTGCTGGAAATGTAGTTCCAGTTGTAACAGTGCACTTTATCCTTAGATGCTCAAAGATTTAGACATGAAAATATGAAACTAGAGAACCTTTCAAATGCCATAATTCTCAGAAAGAATGCATACTGCATACATGAAAATGGGTTTAGAATATAACCGTCTTGCACAAGGATTATTTCTTCTGCTACAAGATCAGATAGCAGTTAGGTCACTCAACCGCAGGCATGTTCATTTTGGCCTTCAGCTTGCACTCTAACCCAGAGAGTCCTTACGACCAATATATGGCCCATGACCTTTATCTAGGCTAAAAGATTTGACAGAAGTTAAAGGTTGTTCCTAGTTCATTTGAACTTGAACTGCTAGTCTAGAAAGGAAGGTTTTACTGCCCAGAAGGATGTGTCGAATACGTAACCTAGTTTACCTCCTAATTCTCCCTCACAAAAGAATATCACACCAATCAGAAAATTAAAACAGGTTTGACAGACGGTAAAGTTGGACAATGTGAGCTAGAGAGCCCTTGGCTTGATAGTTGTTCCATAGCTAGCCCCATTTGATGGCAAAAAACTTAAAATAGTGATTGAAATTTGAAGTACAGATTAGCTTCAACAGTACTTACTGTGATGAGCTCTCTCATCCAGTGGAAAATATTACTTAAATATTATAATTGGCATGTCAGAAGGCAATTGTGCACTGTGAAATAAAAACTGCAAATAAATTTCAAATTTAAACTGATAGACTCTTTGGAAAAAAGTTAAAACAAAACCAACAAACCAAGAAAAATTTCAAAAAATAATTTAACCTGATCAAGATCCTTTGCTACAACAGTGTTCCTAATTGCAGCAAAAAAGGCGAGCTTCAAACGTTCATCTTTGACAGTAATGAGATCAAAAAGGCGTGGAACATCTTCAGGGGTTTTAACTCTCTCCTTCAACTTATGCAAATGATCCACTTGTTTTTCCTGCATCAGTAGAGGATCTTTATTTGTACAAATACAAGCCATGGACATAAGTGCATTTTGCCCTATAGTAATAGTTTTAGCACATATGTTACATGCTACCATAGAGAGAATTTATACCTAGTTACACTCTATTCACATTCTATACAGTGCTAAAAGGTTCACAAATAGAAGCACACATTCAGATAAACTAAATGTCTTTGATCATGATGTCAAAGACACCAATGCTACATTTCCTTCGGCAGAATTGCTAAATAATTTTCAGAAACTTCAGTTAATAGTTTAATGCAGGACGGAAAAACTCATGAATATCACTATTAAGTGTATGAAAACGAGGATCATGTCATAAACAATTGGTCAATCAGATAGCACTTTTAACAACTAGATCCAATTCAATTTCTCATAATATTAAAAGGATGAAAAGATCACAAAAAGTTACTTATATATGTCAATGTTTAGAAATGCGGAAGCACGCAAGGTGAAGCATTAGACCCTGTAATGGAGTGAGGCGTAAGCTTCAAAGCATGAGCTATAAGCCTCGTGAGTTAAAGCACTTCAATTTTAAAATCTGTTAAAATTATGAACATATAATACATAATGGTATAATAATTTATAAATAGATACATTCATATTCTGATTAGTAAATAAGAATTAAATATGTGAACTATAGACACAAATCACAATAAACTAAGCTACATGCATAACATATATATCTTATTTCTACTCACACCTTATTTATACTCACACGGTCCTGTTGAAGATACATAGGGGCACTTTAACGTTAGTCAAAAATCATTTTATATCCTCCTACCTTGTGTGCTTCAAAAGAGAAGCGCTTTATGAAGCGCGAAGCATACAGTTTAGTTATGCTTTACGCAACGAGGCGTAAGCTTCAAGGATAATTAGCTTCACTTTTGAGTTCTGAAATATTTACCCTACAAAAATTTACATAGCAAGTTTCAAAAAAGCTTTTTCAAATGTTGATATATGTTACAAATTAATTTCTGAATCAGAACCATCACCATTAGAGGTCATTGATAAAAAATGGAAATTGGTGAAAAATAAATTGACTTTAGACCAATGAATGTGAAAATCTAAGCATATACAACATTAAGAACTCAAATAGCAACATCTGAGCTGAAAAGGGCTGTTTGATTTGACATTTTCCCTCCACCCTTTTAGGTTTTATGACAGTTGTTAAGGTTACAAACAATTTCAAGAGAGAACTGGAGTTTAAACATATTGCTAGAAGTAACACAATGACTATGCAGAGTTTTTGTTATTATTTGATCATCCCTTCTTATGTACAAGTGTATTGATTAATCAACTTCAGTGGCTATGAAAGCAAATTAGTAGTTTGACCATTGATGCCATGTTGTCCTTTACAATACAGCATATTCATCATAACTCTCAATCTTAATCAACTCAGATAAACTACTAGCAAAAACCAACATGATGACCAAGTTAAATCAACTAAATTGGTGTCAAAACAGATCTGTTACAGAAAGAAAGGAAGAGGCTAGAGTATAGGCTACCAGTATCATAAAAGTTGCAATTCCAAGGTTCTTTCTCCTAAGTAACTCAACGCATGCTTGTGCTGCAGCTGTCGTCTCAACCACAATATAATCAAGGCCTGGACAAGCAGTTGATATGGCAACATTGTATCTTTCTGCAAAATGGCACATTTATTAGCAACAAAAACATTTACTTCTTTGTTCACTCTTATGCATAAAGGGGACTAAAGAGAAAACAGAACTTTAAATAATAAGGACAAGAAACTGGAAACAAAGGTATCGGTTGAGTTGATGTAATTTTTTGAAATATATTGAAATGAACAGTAAATGTAATTACAGCAACTCTTGTTTGATGTAATCAACTATCATGTGCAGAAGGACAATAACCATGAAACAAAGGACTTTGTTGACGGTGATTTGATGTAATCACCCAAATCTTTCAAGTTGAAGTCAGAACATTATCCTTAACAAGGAGCAAGACAAGTACATTGACATCAGCTGCAAATGTACGAGCCCGCCAATACATCTACTATGCTTAAACGAGACATGGTAGTCATTAGAATCACCTGATTTCAATAGCCAATATACTTATATCGTTCCTCATAGTTCCATCATCAACATTCTGATACATCTCAGCGGAGGAGGAAGCTAGTCCATGTAAAGCTTATTCAACTATTCATTGCGAAAAGAATTCATCTACGGATCTACCCAAATGGCCTACAGTTCTTTCTTGCTAGGTATTTCAACCATAAAGGTAGCATAGATGACACCATTAGTTGACTACCCGTTTGTACACAGTTTTAATCTTAACATACCGAAAAAGGGCAAAAAAGACAGGAAATGTAGAAGTAACCAGGGCAAGGGTCCTCTCCAAATTTTCAGGATAGCATTTTCATTTTACAACCAATGCATGAACTACATGTCGTGAGCTTAGCTTCAGGAGACTGTTATAATTGTGTCCTTCAGTAAATAATTATAATAAATTGGCAGCTTGCAGGTTCACATCTGTGATTTCAGTTACATTTTTACTTATTGAAGTATCAGTGTATCACTGGTAAAATAGAATCCAGATCATAATGTAGGTCTTAGACATTATTAGTTTAATACCACAACTAAACATTGCATCCCGTTCATACCCCAGATCTTTCATGGCCAAAGAAGGATTGCAACTGCGGTATAGTGGTAAAGTGGGTTAGGGTTACTTGTTATATCAGGAACTTGTGATGACTAGCATTGTGAGAAGGCACTTTATTTCATTCGCCTACTTCCATTGGACTTTGTCTGTCACATCACTGAACATAAAGGAAAAAAATTGGTTGAACGAGAAAATTATGCACATACAATTTATGATACTTAGAAGCCTCTTTGATACTGGATGGTTTGTTGTTATGTTATTTTCATTTTCTTGTGGAGCAAGTGATAAGATACCATTTTCAATTAGAAAAAGTATTTCACTCGCAGCTAAATTTGTCGACATTAAAGAAACCAAAGGCCTTAGCTCTTCATAAGCCTACATGGTTTTGAAACTTATTTTGGATATGTATGAAAGAAAGCCACCTCTGATCATCGATAGGCAAAGGATGGCACTACTACATACTTTTTAAGCCAGTGTTTGTTGTTCTTCTACATCCTTTACTAGGTTAGCTAACTCTAATGAGTTCATCCTCATCTTTACCTCATACAGACTGCTGCAAAAATTCCCTGAAGAGCCTATATATTTAGTGCATAACAATTAACTACATCTTAAATTTTGCAATGTTGTGTGAAAGGAAAGTAATGTTCCAAGAACATTCTCAAATAGCTCACAGCCTGTGACAGTGTGTTGTTCTATAAGTTTCAGAATTTGAATTATTGTATTAGAAGGTGTTCTATGACCAGTAATTTTGTGTGAATTCTGAAACGGAAAAATAGATAGGGTATTAACGACTTAATTTCAACTTACACATAGTACCAGTTAGCCATACAATTCTGACATAACACTTCCTTACATTCAAAGCAAAAAACATCATCTTAGATATAGGACATTCCAAACTGCGAAAATAATAAATGCAAAAAGTATGTGCAATAAAGTATTTGACAAAACAAGCAAAACCTGACCATCTATTGCACCAAGATCCCCAAGGCGACCATAAATCCCTTCTATTTCCTTTGAGTCCTTAGCCTGCAAAATTGCTTTTAGAACAGACCCCTGACTTTTCTCCGATTCCAGAACTGACATGATCTCAGTTACTTTCTGCCTTGCTGCTTGCTCAAGAGGAATAAGTGATTCTTGCTCTTTAATGCATTCCTGAAATAGAGTTTACCAATAAAGGTATGCATCTCCATTGCCCCTGAACTTTGGGGTCCCTCAACTTTGTTTATCTCACATAAACCCCCTCAATTTGGGGGATTTTCACATAACCGCCTTCAACTTTGTTTATTTCAGCAGAACCCCACACCCCATACGATAATTTGCAAATAAATAAAACTTCCCCGAGAGACAAACCCAAATTTATGGGACAGAGTATATTGCCTATAAATGGCAAATGACAAAATTTGAGATTTTTCTCTCAAGGGCATTTAGTTATGTGCGAATTACAGGTAGTGGTCCGGGGAGCAGATTAAAGTTTGGGGAGTGGGGGCGGGGCTATTGTGAGATCCCCCCCCCCAAAAAAAAAAAAAGTTCAAGGGGGTTATGCGGGGCTATTGTGAGATCCCCCCCCCCAAAAAAAAAAAAAGTTCAAGGGGGTTATGTGTGATACTAATAAACAAAGTTGAGGGGAAAAAAGAAAGAAGTTCAGGGTGTTATGTGAAATTAACCCAAAGTAGATCTTAGTATGACAGAGATTGTAACCTGTTCCAACCTACGAGCTTCTGATGCTTCAAGCTTGTTTTTCTGGATTTTAGTTTGAACATCATTTTTTAATGTACTTTTTTCTTTGATTTTTTCCAGTATATCGTCCATCTGAAGTTGTGCATCCTCAAAAGTTTTGCGGCCAGCATCATGCTGAAATGGAATATAATCACAACCATTGAATGATCTAACATTGAATTTCACTGAGGGGATTTTGTTTGAAGTAATCAAGCATATGTGTTTATGCATGTTAGTGTGTATTTTCCATGTCTATGGCGTATTCATAATCGAGGCTAATTTAGGATTTTGTACGCCTATGCTCACAACGTCCATGTCAGTAGACTCAGTACATTATAAACTAGTCTGATCCACCATATCATAGCATAGTTGTGAAATTCCTTGTACCGATTCAAACCGTCGTATAGTTACTAGTTACCAAGGTTTTAAATATCGGTTATCGGGGATTTATCGGACAGCCAAAATCCTTATCGGATAGCGGAAATCGGGGATATATCGGGGATAAGTAGTATTTATCGGAGTGATATGGTTTAGCCATTATTTGGGATTGATTAAGGTAATAAATTTGATGTTGATTTATTCAGATATTAATAGATATTTGCATATGATGGACTGTGTATTTTCAGTTTCGATGACGAACTCTATACCCATTATTTGTTTCTTTAATGGGAGCCTCGGCGTCGGAGTGAATAATTTGCCGGTGTATGATGGAGGTTCTCGGAAAATGTTCATGCTATCTAAGTCGTGTAATTTTGATGGAATGACTAGGGAAATACACAGAGTTACTAAAATTAAGAAAGAAGAATATACAATTAGGGTGTTCTTCAACTGTCCGATAAATGAGAGTAGAACTATTACCGTGGAGATTACCGAAGATGAGGAATTGAATGACATGAAACAATTAGTCGAGAAGCAAGCGTCAATTGAGTTGTTTATTGAGAAGTATCCGATTCAGGAATTTGCCCAAGTTTCACGACCTCAAGAAGAGTTTTCTCGGATGCTTGACTTAGACAACGAGCAAGGTTTTAAATATCGGTTATCGGGGATTTATCGGACAGCCAAAATCCTTATCGGATAGCGGAAATCGGGGATATATCGGGGATAAGTAGTATTTATCGGAGTGATATACCGTATGTTGGGTATATATAATATAATACCCCAAATTGTAATCTAATCATACTCGACGCTTTCATTCTCTCAACCTTCACTAAATAACTAGAGAAAAAACCAACTAAATGGTGAATATTATTTGTTACTACAACTTCAGAAGTTGTGTTGAGGGCGTGGCGTCAATGGAGAGTCCAAGTCAAACTTTCGAAGTCACAGTTGATGATGGCGTCGATGGAGAGAGCTCGGCATCGATGGAGAGCTCAGCGTCGTTCAACGTCGTCGAGTCAATCAGATCAGTTGATGATGACGTCGATGGAGAGAGCACAACATCAGTCGAAGTCGTCAAGTCGATGAAGTTAATGTTGATGAGAGAGCAGCGTCGAAGTTGATAGCGCTGAGGTCAACGAAGTCCGAAGAAGAGCGGAGGCGAGCATTGAAGTCGGCGGAGGCGAGCGTCAAGGTCGACGGAGTCCAAAGAGAAACAGAGTCAGAGGATTAGGGCAGTGGGCACAACCGCACAAATGAGGGGAGAGAGAACAGAGGATTAGGGCTACTTAATCGGTTTAAGTTTTATTGTAAAGAACGGGTCGTGTCGGGTTTCAAGTTCACTCAAAAACTATCCATTACCCAAAATCACAACCTAATAGTGTGGCCCGATAATTCCGATTTTAGAGCTGCTAATATCGGCTGATAATCACCTTTATCGCCGCATTATCGCCGATAAACCCTAAAAAAAATAACCGATTTAAATTCCAACTTATCCTATCGGAAAGCTCTCAAAACCGATAACTCGGGGATAATATCGGATTATCGGCCGATATTTAAAACCTTGCTAGTTACTACGAACTGAGTCTCGGTACATTTGTGATTTGATTCCCTCCAATACACAAATTAGTTCCTCAAAATTGGCATAACACTTACAAGTATGTGGGGGCGCGAAGTCCCTTTAAGTGCAAATGCGCAAGATGCAATGCAATGTACGCAATCGAGTGAAGTAAGGCACAAAATAGAATATATGAGCCAATGACTTTACTGTAACTAATACCTATGTTACTAAAACATGAAATGAAACTATGATCCTGACACGAACTATGTGGGAAAAAAACTAAGGAACAAACTCCATAAAAAAGAAAGTATTTAAGTATTTTGTACGAAAAATTTTGAAATGCATAATTAGCTTTTTAGTTTTAAAGTTTTCTACTATATAGTTTGGAAAACTTTAAGCACACCCAGAAAAAATTTACAATGTACCACTAACCAAACTTGTGTACCGAAGCAAGCTACGCCCCATCGAATCTGAATTTTCTTAGTGATGAATTGCGTACCAGAATTCGTACCATGACCCACTATGTACCGCACACTATGTAACTATGTATTGTACACATTTGACTACCAAATCATGATCAATGGTTTAAATTTTCTGCATTTCCAAATAGTCTCAAATGATTTCTCCAACATCTCTATCCCAACAGAGCTACTTGTGGGTTCTTATCATGGGGTCTCGCTTTAACCTAGATATTGGCATAATTCCACTCATCAATGTAAACACTCTCATTCTTTACACTCATCTATAACGTGTTTTTGAGTTCCTCAGCATTATTCCTGTAAGTCATAGATGTTCATCAATTTTTTTATTCTATTCAACATCACGATTATTCTACATCTGTATGGTAAGCCCAAAAAAATCTGTCTGCTTCAGTAGAGCTCACAATCACTAAAGATCTGATAAGTAATGACAAGCTAAACAACATATATGTAATATGTAAGCATACTTTCTGCAGACCAAACACGACTCTGAAATGGTCTTAAATCTCAATTAGAAGAATGGAAACCAACAACAGGATATGCTTTTGTTTCGGGGATTTAGGTTATACTAAGAAATAAATATCATATGATTGACAATTAATGAGAACAAAAACATCTTTTTTCTGAAGCATATGTTAATATATCATTTACCATTATTAGAGTATAAAATTAAGTTTTAAACCCTCATCACAACTTCGGAGTGTAGTGGAACAGATTTTAAGATGGTATTAGAGCAACAAAGCTTCAAACCCCACCAAACATGGATTTGAAGTGAATTTTAGAAAAAAGGCATCCCTATATAAAATAAACTGTCGCAGAAGCGGAAGAGATCCTAATAATCATAAACTGCTAGACTTTCCTCAACGAGCAATGATTAAGCTCGCCCACCTTCTCCTTTAGAAGCTTGCTCTCTGAACGTGCAATATCAAGTTTTCCTTTATGCTCAATCAGTTGGTTTTCCCAAGGTTCTAGTTCTGCACGGACTTCCATGAGCTCAGCACGATGCCTCTCGGATTCATCTGTACTCAAGCAAAAACAAAAGTAGTAGTCTTAGCAACACATGTTAAAATGAGGGAAAAAAGGCTAATTTGTAACGTGTAAATGTTTAGTAAAAAAATAAATGAACATTTGCATTAAAAGTAAAGCTCAGTGTAGTTCATACAAACACATTTTAGCAGCAAAGGATTTGAAACAATAATTTCCTGTTTTGTGATTATTTGCTTCGTACAAACGGTGTGCTATATGGAATTAGGAATGCGAATCATTCGAATAAAACATGGTAACTAATTGACACTTTTAAAAACTCAGGTTTTGTGTCATTTCATTCAAAATTCCTTCTATCCACTACATTACAAGAGCACAGTTTAAATCCCACATCCGCTACCTGGTCCACCTAACTAGGATCAGCATCCCAAGTTCAAGCAAATTGCACAATTTCAAATTAGAACCATCGTACATGGTATTAATGAATTTAATCAAGTTTTCTATGCATTGACATTTTCTGTACCAATATACGACTATCAAATCAATTTTTGGTAAAGCTCATATATCCTCCTGTATCAGTTGCTACTAGCCAATATCACTGGTCCTAGTCAGTTTTGGTTAAAGGAATGCTTGAAGTCGATAAATACTAGAGATATGTATTTATGTCGACCAATACTTCAAAGTTTAAAGAATGAACCAAAGTAATAAGCTTTTGGACCATTACAGGAATTATTTTCTAGATAATGAGATGTACATGCTAGAAACTTAAATCCATGCAATTTTTGACCCAATGATTTTATCACAGTGATCAATCTAAATCTTCAGTATGGATAACCCACTATATGTTTCGTAGGCAGGGGTAAACTCTACTTTTACACTCTACATAAAACATAACCTTTCTCGTATATAAAATATGTAATCTATATAGATATAAGTAAGGGTATATACATGCTTACATACAACTATGTGTGCGTACGCGGAACCACGAGCAGGTGCACCCCCCTCCCCCCAAAACAACAACAATATTCATCAACAAAACGAATAGCAAAATGTTCATTAATAGTAAATATACATGCCCCGAGTTTACATAGATGCCCTTAGTTTACACAAAGATAAATTTCTGAAATGCCTGTAGAAGTTTATAACTATGTTTTTAAATGACAAGCAAGCTTAATCACCATCCTAGCAGTAGAAAAGTTGCAATTTTATCATGCAGTATCAAGAAAAACTAAAATATTAGGAAAGTGAAACTCTGTACATTACTTGATCAATGAAAACAAATGGATTGCAAAAAAGTATCTCTTGGCACTTTCATAGCTAATCAACTCAAATCAAATGGAAATTTAGAAGAACGGCATAAACTAAATATAGAACTTCAATTGCATAGGAAAGGCTAAATTATAGGTGTTTATACACTCAAACATTTAAAAGTTATATACATAACTGAATTTATCAGATAACAAAAGTAAATGATCACTTTTAAATTGAATTAATCTACTAAGGAGAAGACCTTTAGAGCTCTCTTTAATTTCTTCCAAGAGTTTTTCCTCATTAAGATGGAGCTGTTGTAGTTTGGGCAACTCTTCCTCAAGTTTTGGAATCATATCTGATGATTCCTCATTCTCTTTAACAATCTCATCAATTTTGGACGAATCCTGCAATGCTTACAAATATTAGAGCACGTAATTCTTGTCTCTAAAAGAAAAGGAAAAAAACACTTACAATACCTTTCCGATTTTGTCCTCTAATTTCTTAATTTTTTGCTTCAAATGCTTAAAATTTTCTCTATATTTAACATCCTGCCTCTCGAACTCTTTAAATTGTTCTTTGCAAGTCCTCATCTCAGTATCAAGTTCCTGAATGTCTCATCAAGCAAGTATCAAAACTATATATATTCAGAAAGTGAATAAAAATCCAAAGTATTATCAGGCATACACATTAAAGATAGAAGTTCTAAGTTCTAACAAACCAAAATGTATGAGATGGTGCAATGTTAATTGCAAATTCGTAATGTCCGTTTCAAAATCCAAGAAGTTATAGAGGGACGGCAATGTTATTTATCACCTTGCTTCCCTAAGATCATAACCTTTTTTTGGCTTATCTTTCTCAGGACACTTTTTAAAAAATGTATGAGTGCCCAGCCTGCCTAGGCAGACGTGGTGCTCAGGCTGCTTAGTTTTGACTTGGCACACCCTAATTAAGTGTTCAGTTGGTAAGATGCTTAGTGGACCACATTGCATAACAAGTATTATAAATCCCGCTTAAGCACAATAATGGGTGAATATAGTGGGTTGGGTCAAAACTCGAAATCTAAATGATTTGGCTAAAAGAGGGGCTAACCTTTTTTATTTGCTTAAACTATCTTTCCTTTCTTCTACATCTACCCACTCTCCCCTTAGCATTCTCTCTGTTGCTAGAGTAATTGCCTCCAAGTCCCAACCATCGTCAGGTGTCTCTAACCACCGTCATAAGAAGGCAATTTTTCTTTAATATATTATTATCCTAGTTATGATTACAAATCACGACAGTATTTAGTTATTTACAAATCCATGTCCTTTGTGATCTTCCTCATTCTTTCTTCTTCTTCTTTTCTTCATCTTTCTCCTTCTCTCTTCATCTTCTCCTGCGTCTTGGACTACAGACAAAGCACCTCTGAGTGCGCCAGAAGCTCCAATGCTCTTTATCACTCTTTCTCTATCCTTCTTCTCTGTTCCTCTTTGCCTTAAGCATCACCGCCTTTAGCAGAAAATTTTAAAATGTAAAATGCAAAAAAAAGGGGACAACCCACCAGCCATTAGTGCCCAACATTTTCTATAACATGCCTCAAGCAATGTAGATACTCATCACCTTAACTTTGCCTTTGCCTTTAAACTATTAATTGCATACTTATACAGGACTGTTCAAACTGCAAAAACATTATTTAAAAGGGACAGTCAACTTGTTCACGTGGAAGGAAGGTAGTATATTATATATCCATCATACACTGTCTATTTGCATATGCTCACAAAGAATGAATTGGAAGAAAGAAAATGAAAATTAACGATAAACAAAAATGCATGATGATATCTTGTTGAAATTGCCTCAACTGAACTGTAGAATACATCTACAAGAGCAAGTTAAATTTACCTCCTGTTTTTTCAAGTGTTTGTTGTGAACACCTTCAAGTTCCTTCAACCTTTTATGATCTTCTTGAATCTTTTCCCTGAATTAGAATGAGTATTTAGATTGCAAATCACTTAAAACTGTTAAAGGTCTTGATATTATTTTTCTGGATGGAAGTAACCTTTCATTTCTGAGGTTTCCTTCCAATTTTGAAACATTCTCTTGCAACTCCGTAACATGTGCCATAGCATCTTCAAAGGCCAATTTGGTTGCCTTCTCTTGCCATTTTGTGAGGGTTAGTTCCTTCAACATGTAGGCCTCTGCTTCATTTTTGACATTCTACAGAAATCATTTGTAATAAGTGGTTCCTTCTAGGTAATAAAGGCAAGAAAAGAATATACTACAAACATATAAGCATATACCTCCAAGCTATCTCTTTCTTTCTCAGCTAATTTTACCAGTTGAACTGCACCAGAACGCTTATCATTCAGGTCTTCAAGCCTAAGGACCAGCATTTGCATCAGGATGAATAGGTATTAGCATTATAGTTTCATAGATAAAGTATTGAAAATGTTGTCAACATTTGCTAGGCTAAAAGTGAACAGCCTCATCTAATAGCAAGAATAAGAGATGCAATTATACCTAGGTTGACGCAAGAAACTCCATAAGGAGTTATATTGTTAAAGGATCCTAAAGAACATCAAAATATTAAGGCAACAGTAATTAAAACAATTGTAATATCAGATGTATGATAAAATGGATCACATACCTGCGAACAGATGCAAGTAGAAGTAGAACAAGTGTGGGTAGATGCCTAAACTCTAACCTTTGAAATATTAAGGCTGATCATGTTTGATTTTGTACTAACACTGAGGATGAAAAATATCTCTGATCTCTCAAGTTTCAGGCTTTCAGCTGACACAATGCTAATTTCCAAAGAAAACAAATCGGATCCCCATCTCCCATCATCCACGTTCTCTCGGTTATTCAACCTTTCTGTCACCTTACTTACATCCTCTTCTTCCTGCTCAAAAGCATTATCTCTCAGCCAACATTTTAATCCTTCGGCCACTGGAAAATATCTAAATTTCAAATCTTGGGTCCAAAAGCCAACTACAAGTCTACAAGTTTAACCCGCAACATTTTCTTTCTAATGCCAAGTCTTCTTAATCTTAGTCTATAACATCTTATTCCTAAAAGCCATGTCTCCTCAATCCTAATCTATAACATTTTATCTGTATTGTGGAAGGCTAAAAGCAATATAAATTTTTATCATCCTATAATAGCATCAGGCTTATTTTCTTTTTATTATTGTTATTATTATCTAGCACTGATTTTTAGTCAAAACTGTGATCTGAGTTGTAGGAAAATCAAGTCAACTTTTTGTGATTTAGTTTGGTCAATAATTCCAATTTGAACAAATGTATCAGTTCTTTATTCTCTTCATGTTTCTTGTGTAAATTATTGTTTCTTTTAGAAAGTTCCAGGGAACACTAGATTTTGCTTTGATGATGCAGATTCATCAAATAATACTAATTACTTTTATGAATTTTGCTCAAGTTCAGGTATTATGTATTTGTATTTTGAATAGAATTATTTCATAGTCAATGCATTTTTTAGTTTTGGTTGACCTTATTATTGTTGACGTTACTTGTTTAGCTTGAAGTTTCATTTTCAAGATGTGATGCATGAAATCATGCGATGGTACTCACACAAACGAAAAAAATCATGTATCTGCTATCGCATCGCCAAGAAGTAAGGCCTTAAAGAACTGAACGGAGGTAAAGGTTCATTTGGCTGACTCCAAATATTCGAATAAAGGTTTTGTTCTTGACCTTGTTGTTTTAGATTCGATGATGCATGAGCAAGATGCCAACGGAACATGTACTAAACTACAATATTGTCCACTATTTCACTTTATAGTACATATTGAGTCCGTTCTAAACTTCTAATTAAGGAATATGACAAACTAGTAACAGCGCATTCACTAAGAATCATAAAGAACTTTCAAACTCCTAAAGTCATGTTTCCCTCTGGCAGCTGTATACCAGCTGACACGATACTGTTCTGAGAACACCAAATTTTTGTCCCAACTCTAAATGTCATTTTATTATGAGATGTTAAGTGTTTGAGAATTATGAAGTCTACTTACATACTGTACTATGCTAGAAGCCAATGTGTAGCTCTTAGTAGCAATTTGTCGAAATGCTTACTAAAAAATACCAATTGTACAATATACTATTTTGCTAACCTCATTGCTCCTAGATGACATAAAAGCCTGAGAATTTTGCGAACCTAATTGCTCTGAAGTGACATAAAAGCCTGCTAATAACAAAAGGATGATAAAAGTTCAAGGGAACTTACTGTTTACAAGCTTCTTCAATCTTTTCCACATACTGGTTTGTTCCAATTATGTCTTCAAGATATTCCAAGAAGCCTTCATCATGGGGCCCTTGAGCCTTTGGTTTCATTAGTGATATCTGCTCCACTTCTCCCTGGATCACACCAAGACGGTTAAGTGTTGTTAGAAACAACAAATCTAAAGAAACTACAAATTCACTCAAGTATCAAAACAACTAGCAAACCTGAAGGATTAAAAATCGATTGTTGTCCAGATCCACTCCTTTTCCTTTCAACTTCTTTGTGACCTCAGTGAAGTTACTTCCGCGATCATTGATGTAGTATTTCGAAGAGTTGTCTCGAAATGCCACTCGGGTAATGGAAAAGTCACTTCCTTTAATAGCTTCATAATTTCCATCATCCTGTACAAAAGAGAAAAATTAATGAACAAAATGCAAGCATTGAAACACGACTCAATCCAACAAAAGATCACTCACAAGATCAATAATTTCTTGGAAGTGAACAGAAACTCCAGCGCTCTCCAGGTTCTGGTGGTTGCTGGAATTATGTATAAGCTCCGAAACTTTATTCAACCGCATCTTCAGTAGCAATCAATAGAATAAACCTGTGAGCTAACCATTATAATCCTAAGCAATTGCAGAAACCAAAAGCTTCTCTTTTACCTGTTTAGCTCTCTTTCCGAAAACGAAGAGCATCGCATCAATGACATTGCTCTTCCCACTCCCATTGGGCCCCACAACAGCAGAAAAGCTCTACCAACCGAAAAAAACAAAAAAATTCAGAGTCTAGGGTTTCAAACTGAGTGATGACCAAATTGACAGTAGAGCATCAAGAAACACGGCGAAATTTAGGGTTACCTTGTGAAAGGGGCCAATTCTTTGCTCTCCAGCGTAGGATTTGAAGTTGCGGAGCACCATTTCTTTGATGAACAGCCGCGGCCTCTTCGCCGGCGCGGGCGATCCTCCGCCGTCTACGTCCATGGCGTCGGGCTCGTTGATTTCTGGTGTCGGTGCGCCCATTAATTGAGGTGGAATTAGGGTTTAGGGGTGGGGTGATATTGGGATTTTGGGGTTGGGGTTTGGCCGTTTGGGGGGAAATTTCAAGGGGAGGGAAAAAGGAGAGAGTTTTGGGCAGTTTGGGAGGGAAAAAGAGAGGGGCTCAAAATTTCTATTTGCTTCGTGATTTTGTAGGCCATGGTTTGTCCGTATTGATGAGATGCTGGTTTGGGCTGGGCCTTCGAAACAGGAGATTTTGTTACTGGGCCTTTAAACTTAGGCGGCACATCTATTCTCTAACGGCTCGTTGGGTACGCGATACTGACTCAGAATATAATACAATTCTAACTTTCTATATATACTTATCAAATATAATATATTTTTAAATGTTAGAAATGACATTCTTGTTTATTATCAATTCTCACTTAATATGAGAATTGTTATTCCCAATGAATTATAAAGGAATTGATATTCTCGCTTAAATGAGAACAAAAATAATAAACTAAATTCCGGATATAACCTTCTTAAAGATATTCTCACTTAATTTTCTAATCTCATCCAAATATGAGAATGAGAATGAGCATTTCATTCCTACATCAAGTCCATTCCATCATTACTTTCACTCCATTCTTACTTGACTCTGTGTACCAAACGAGCCATAACTATAGGCTAATTAGCACTTTCACACCTTAGAGTGTGTTTGACAATCCATCAAAATTGGTCGGGAATTAGTTTTGAGCCAATTTCATCTTAAACTAGTTTTAATTTGAACTAGAGGAGGGCTTGACCGCGGTTTAAACTAAATCTAATTTAGTGGGCATTTTTTGGCATGCAAAATTTGGATCAACTTTAACCCAATTTGTTGGCAAACAAAAAATCACCCAAATCTGAATCAGAGTCAACACTTAACCAATTTTTAAATATAATCAAACACACCTTAAAAGTTTTTCCTACATCAGCACTTGCGTGCTCTCCCTTGTATTTTGACAGCGGTTACGTATCTAAAGTTTCTAAAATTTAATATAAAAAGTTCTAAAGTTCTATCTATAGGATAGAACTTTTTAGCTCTTGACATTTGTTGAGTTTACTTTTGTACCTAAACTCCTAAGCTCATATATCTACGAATACTAGAACAATAGTAAGAACAAGGGATGGCAAAATGGACCCAAAACCAATTGCCCACCCATACCCACCCGTCAAATGAACCATCTAAACCCACCCATTTAGTTAAATGGGTCATAAATGGGTGAGTATAGTTTCTATTAAAGATAAATGGGTCATTAATGGACGGGTTATTACCCACTCATTTACCCGTTTAGATAGATATTGTTTTAAAAACACCCTCAACGCTTCAACAATTACAAAACTTATTTTTAAAAGTTAAAAATTATAGAAAACACTTAAAATGACTAACAACCCCTTAAAATTTTGAGATTTGCAAAAAACACCATCAAAGTTTAAAATATTATAAAAACGCCCTCAATAGTTAAAAATTATAAAAAAACTATCAAAATTTTCTAACCTCACAGATGACACATGAAATTCAAAAATTACCAACAGCCCCCTGAAATTTTATAATTTGCAAAAAATACCCTTAAAAGTTATAGAAAATGAGAAAAACACCCTCAAGACTTTAAAATTACCAAACAATCAAAGTTATAGAAAATGAGAAAAACACCCTCAAGACTTTAAAATTACCAAACAATCTTAGAGTTTTCTAACCTTGCAAATGACATATGAAATCTAAAAAAAATCAATAGTCCCCTATAAATTTAAATTTTACAATTAACACCCTCAAAGTTTTAAATTTCTAGAAAAACACCCTCCATAGTTTAGAATTACAAAACCATCCTGAAATTTCAAAACCTACAAATGACACATGAAATCCAAAAATTACTAGCAGCCCCCTGTAAATTTATAATTTACTAAAAAGCACCCTCAAAATTTAAAAATTGTAAAAAACACCCTCAAGAGTTCAAAACTACAAAACAATCTTAGAATTTTTTAAACTTTCAAATGACACATGAAATCTAAAAAAATTTGGTAGTCCCCTATAAATATTAAATTTGCAAGTAACACCCTTAAACTTTTAAAAATTACAAAAAACATCCTCAAGGATATATAAATATAAAAAGTAGGCGCTCACAATTCTTCGTCGGCAAGAGATATATGCATGTGCGGTCAAGTGTAATTTGCAAAACTTGCGTCTATTGCGCGAGAAACAGGAGAGAAAGAGAGCGTATATTGTTTTATCCGGCGTGATAAAAAAATTTTAAGGAGAATTACTTGGGGACACTCTTTAATTAAGAACAAACATGGAAAAAATAATAGACTTTAACCAACAACAAATATGAAGAAATGAACAATTACACTCATAGCTCATGGATTTTGAACAAAGGAAAGAAAAACACAATCTCTCTCAAGCAGTTCGCACAAGGCTAAGGAGGTGCAAGATTTTTAAGATCCTCAGAGTGGGATGTGATATTTTTACCACATTTTGTTGACAAATTTAGACGGCAAAAAGATTCAGTTAGGATTTTTTATGGAATGTGTGGTGTGTGGGTTTTTAGAGCCAAATTTAGTTAGGATGTTTTTATCAAATAGAGCTGTTAGGTAGTGTGGTTTTGTAAATCGTGCAAGGTGGGGTTTCTGAAGATATTTTGTCATTTCTTTGCTATGTCCTAATTTGACCCTAAGATGAAGAAAAACTGAATTAAATGTTGAGGGTACTCCGATATTCTAAAAATTTTGACACATGACCAAAGTAAGGGCTTTTTTTAAATAACCGAGTAGGCAGTAGACTAGACTTGTTACGAGTCCATCTCTTCTTTTGCTCAACCCCGTCATCATTTGCTTTGTTTGCTCACAATTCTATCCTAATTTTTCCAAGTAGCCGATTCAATTGAGAAAGAAATGTTTACAGAAAATCCTCTGAAAGTTTTTGAAAACCCCTAAAAGTTTGCAAAAAACCCCCTAAAAGTTTACAGGAAATCCCCTAAAAGTTTATAGAAAACCCCTGAAAGTTTACATAAAACCCCTAAAAGTTTGTAGAAAAACCTTGAAAGTTTGCAGAAAAACCCCTGAAAGTTTACATAAAACCCCTAAAAGTTTGTAGAAAACACCCGAAAGTTTGCAGAAAAACCTTTGAAAGTTTACAAAAAAACCCCTGAAAGTTTACATAAAACCCCTAAAAGTTTGTAGAAAACACCCTGAAAGTTTGTAGGAAAACCCTTGAAAGTTTACAGAAAACCCCCTGAAAGTTTGCAAAAAACCCCTTGAAAGTTTACAGAAACCCCCTAAAAGTTTATAGAAAATCCTCTGAAAGTTTATAAAAAACCCATAAAAGTTTACAGAAAACCCCCAGAAAGTTTGCAGAACCCCCCTGAAAGTTTGCAAAAAACTCCCCGAAAGTTTGCAAAAAACCCCTGAAAGTTTGTAAAAAAACCCCTAAAAGTTTGCAGAAACCCCCCTAAAAGTTTACAGAAAACTCCCTGAAAGTTTGCAGAAAAATCCCTGAAAGTTTACAGAAAACCTCTAAAAGTTTGCAGAAAACCCCATGAAAGTTTACAAAAAAACCCCTGAAAGTTTACAAGAAACCCCTAAAAATTCACAGAAAACCCCCTGAAAGTTTACAGAAAACCCCCTAAAAGTTGTAAAAAAAACCCCTGAAAGTTTGCCAAAAACCCCTAAAAGTTTACAAAAAACCCGCTGAAAGTTTGCAGAAAACCCCCTGAAAGTTTGCAGAAAACCCGCTGAAAGTTCATAGAAAACCCCTGAAAGTTTGCAAAACCCCCCCTAAAAGTTTGCAAAAAAACCCCTGAAAGTTTATAAAAAATCTCCTAAAAGTTTGCAGAAAACCCCCTGAAAGTTTGCAGTAAACCGCCTGAAAGTTTGCAGAAAACCCCACTGAAAGTTTGCCAAAACCCCCTAAAAGTTTGCAAGTAGATCCCTGAAACTTATATATATATAGAAGCATCATAATCATAATCATAACTTAAAGATAATATATTACTTTTAAAACTAACATATTATTTTGAAGAAATTATTATAATAATAATTATTTTAAAAGATTGATGTTGTTTTTTTTAAAAACGTTTTTGAAGAAATTATTATAATAAGAATTATTTAAAAGATTATTTTAAACCTTAAATGAATTTATTTTTGAAATATTAAGTAATGATTTTGATTTTAATAAATTTAGGTCAGTTGCAACTAAGTTGCAACTATGACTTGCGGTCATTTTTGACGTAAGTCATATGTTGCAACTAAGGGTTGTTTTGCAACTGTGGTTGCAGCTGCAACTGGGAGTTGCAGCAAAATAAACACATGCAACTAGTCAAATTGGACCTAGTTGCATGCAACTGGAGTTGCAACCACTCCAGTTGCAGCCTACCAAACAGCCCCCAAACTGGCAAACTGCTTCAACAATGTGTTAGTGAAAACTTGGGTGACTTTGCATTTTTACAAATTTGTAAGAGGGCTTCTGTGCAAACAAAAATATCTCAGCATGCTGATTTTACAACGGAACCTTATCCTCTAGCGATATCTCCATCTCTTTACTGCGCTCCCTCTTTACTCTCCGTCATCATTCAAGCTCAAGAGAAAGAAAAAAAATGCGAGCTTTGGCAACAATCTCAGCGGCAGCGGC